TGTGTGTGTGTGTGTGTGTGTGTGTGTGTGTGTGTGTGTGTGTGTGTACAAGGTATGCATGAGCCACAGTACCCATAGGGAGGTCACAGGACAGGTTCAGATATCAGTTCTTGCCTTCCATATTGTTTGTAGCAGGGTCTCTTTGCTGTAAGCCACATTCATGCTAGGTTATCTAGTCCATTAGCTTCAGAGGGGTCTGCTGGCTCCACCTTCCACTTTGCCTTCCGAGCACTGACATCACAAATGAAGGCCACTGTGCAAAGTTTACATGAGTTCAGGCACACTTTGTGAGGCATGTGCTTTATCCACTGAACCATCTCCCAAGCCCACATATGGCTCTTGGGCCCTAGTGACTGAATATGCTCATATTTGCAAGGCAAGCACTTGACCAACTCAGCTGTTCCCCAGCTCTCAACTTGATTGAGCTTGGAATCATCCAGGAGACAATCTCTGTCCACATCTGTGAAGGACTTTCCAGAGATGCTTAACTGGGGAGGAAAGATCCACCCTGAATGCATAGGGCACCATACCGGGACTGAGTCAAAAGGGAAACATATGAACTGAGCACCAGCAGTCATCTCTCTGACTGTGGCTCCAAGGTGACCAGCTGCCTCATGCTTCTGTGGCATGCTTTCCCCACCACTGCAGACTGTTGTAATGGTTCTTAAACTGTGTGTGAAAAGAAGTCCTTCCTTTTTCACTTTTCCACTCTTTAAATAATGCATTTATTTATGTGTTTGTCTGCTTTTGTTCTGGAGTGTGTACGGGTGTGTGTGTGTGTGTGTACATAATGTGTGTCATGGCACATATGTGGGAGTCAACAGATAACTTGTGGGAATTGGTTCTCTTCCACCCTGTGAGTCCTAGGGATTGAACTCAGGTTGACAGACTTGGTGGAAAGGTCTTTAGTCCTGAGCCACCTCACCAGCCCCATAAATCCTTCATTTAAGTTGCCTCAGCTGGGTGCTCTGTGGAAAGTAATGAGAAGAGTGACTAACAGGCTCATGTTTCCACACAGCCTAGAACATCACAGGGCATGTAGTAAATTCAGAGAAGTGTTAGCTGAACAAAACAAAAATAAATAATGCAAGAGGGAGAGAGAGAGAGACAGAGACAGCAACACAGAGAGACAGACAGAGAGGTGAGAGGGAGGAGAGAGATAAAAAGAGAGACAGACAGAAACAGTGACAGACAACAACAGACAGAGAAGAGGAGGGAGGAGTAGATAGAGGCAGACAGATAGGCAGACAGATAGGCAGACAGACAGAAGACACGGGGAGGGAGAGGGAGAGAAGGGAGAATGATAGAGAGAGGGAGGAGGTAAGAGCCTCTGAGAGTTCAATTTTCTTAATTCCTAATGATCTGATCCTGAAACCCACTTGCTTTCTGAGTGACTGAGAGAGATTGTTAGGCAAGGCTAAAACCTAAAAGCTGATTTTCAGCCACTGAGATGCCCTAACCACGTCTCATGCTCTTCCCAGAGAGTCCTGATTGCCCAAAGGAACAATATAATCTGAAAAATCGATTGATCCCCCACTCTGACATGACATACAGCGGTCAGAAAGCAGTGGAGACTGCAGTGCTCGGCTGTCAGGTTCCTCAGCCCTTCCCATGTCTCTCCCCAGAGCCCCACAACTCTGAGGCTGGCCCTGCTGGGAGTTTTCAGCTCCTCAGGTGGTCAGATTCTCTGGCTGCTTTCTTGTCCCTCCTCCCGTTCCCCCCATACACAAAGCTACCACACCAACCTGCCTGGCTCTCCCACGATGCAACACACTCATTGGCCTACAGCGTGCCGGGGGCGGGGCTTGGGTGGTCCTCAAAAGGCAATAGCAGTCTGAGAGGAGAGCCCTGGAAGCTGATGCTATCATCACACTCCTACTTGCTTCAGGGGCCTGGGCTTTCAGGCTCCTTCTGGCTCAGCTTGGGATAGAGCCCCAGACCAGAGGACACCTGTGGTCTTGGATTTAAAGCTCAGTAATGGGGAAACTTGAAAATGCTTCCTGGATCCACGATCCTCTCATGAAGTACCTGAACAACACAGAGGAGTACCTAGCCCACCTGTGTGGCCCCAAGCGCAGCCACCTATCCCTCCCGATGTCTGTGGCCTATGCGCTGATCTTCATGGTGGGGGTGACGGGCAATCTTCTGGTGTGCCTGGTGATTGTCCGACACCAGACCCTGAAGACACCCACCAACTACTACCTCTTCAGCCTGGCGGTCTCAGACCTGCTGGTCCTGCTCTTGGGGATGCCTCTGGAGGTCTACGAGATGTGGCACAATTACCCTTTCCTGTTCGGGCCAGTGGGATGCTACTTCAAGACCGCCCTCTTCGAGACTGTGTGCTTTGCCTCCATTCTCAGTGTCACCACGGTTAGCGTAGAGCGCTATGTGGCCATCGTCCACCCGTTCCGAGCCAAGCTGGAGAGCACACGGCGGCGGGCCCTCAGAATCCTCGGCCTGGTCTGGGGCTTCTCTGTGGTCTTTTCTCTGCCCAACACCAGCATCCACGGCATCAAGTTCCAGCACTTCCCCAACGGATCCTCCGTGCCTGACTCTGCCACCTGCACTGTCATCAAGCCCCTGTGGGTTTACAACTTCATCATCCAAGCCACCTCCTTCCTCTTCTACATCCTCCCCATGACCCTCATCAGCATCCTCTACTACCTCATGGCGCTCAGAGTGAGTATCCAAGGTGACTGGCTCGGGGCAACATCCCTCCTTTCTTGCCTGTTCTGAATTCAAAGAAAGATCTTGGCGTGGGGGAAAGACAGAGACAGAAAGGGGCTCAGGGGATAACTTTAAGTGGGAAATTAAGAAGCAAGAGTTTATATGCTTGTAAAATACTTGCAAATGCAAATTCCACATGTGTACTCAGGATGTATCTCGAAAGTAAAGCCAGCTTGGTATCCTTTTGAACAGGTGGGAATCGCCATCAATTAAACAACAAAACCACAACTCTTTACCCGGTGTCCACCATTTTCTCTCTGCTTGTTCACCTGTGTTTCTAAGAAAGTGCTAGGAAAGTTCCTAGTGGTATCAATATAGGTAACACTCATGGGAGAATCTGACCCCAGGGGCTTGAGAAGAAACCTCATTTTAGATGTGATCTAGGTTTAGAGGGTAAAATTCAGGGGTGGGGGGTGGGGGGTGAAGATCCTTCCACACCCTGCTGTCTCTTTGCTGGCCCTGCTCCACTTTACTGCCTGTGTTGAAGTTTTTCTCTGTCCAACTTGTCCTGGGATCTCCCTGCTTTGTACTCTGTACTCAGAGATAAACAGCTGTGAGAACAAATATTCTCTTGTGACTGCACTGACCTTTGATTGAAATAGCAGGTTAAATCCTTTGTGTGTGTGTGTGTGTACAGAGAGGCATATATGTGGGTGTGTATATATATATATATATATATATATATATGATTTATATTCCATATATACTGTATACACACTCACACATATACCTTGAAATAAGTTTTATAGCAGGTAGGAATTGAGGGATGGAAAACTAAGCAGAACTCATAAGTTAGAGGAGTAAAAGATGTGATTTTGAGACATGTGCGTTTCTGGGGAAATCACTCAGCTTTCCTTGCATCTTATAATTAGAGGTTCCTTCTCTAAGATAGCGGTGATAAATATTTTCTTTTCCATTTTCTCTGCTTCTAAACTAGCTGAGAGAATCTGTTTTTGAGAAATGTAGGAGTGAATCTGTATACTTCCTTCTGTATTTTGTACTCAAATTCATAGTGTGAGTCCTCACAGAGATAGTTTTGTATTTGTTTCAGGAAGTGGTTCATGCATAAACAGTTACTGGGTTATTTAGACTCTCAGGTCCTTGGTTGACATACACCTTTAGGCAGGTCACACACAATTCTCCAGGAATTACTTTACCATTTGGAGAATTAAAAGGTTACATCACATCATTTCTAAGATTTCTTCCAGCCTAACAGTCTGTGGTTCTTTTTAAAAGGGAAAGAGGCTATGAGTGGGTAGGCATGAGCTGTAAATGACAGAAATAAGCACACATATTCCATCACATCCTCTGGCACAGTAGTTCTGGATGCAGAGTCCCACTCCAGTCCATCTCTGAGAAAGGCAGTTATCAGCAAAGAGGATCTTTCTTGATATTTACTGGCCTTAAAATGAATGGCCATCAGGACTGAGTAGGAAGAGCATTATTTGAGTGTCACAGCTAGTTAGGGGCAGAAATGAATCTGACCAAGCAGAGAGTGGTGGCATTTCCCCTAAGACCTATGTCACCCTATCCAGCTCAGTGCCACAGTTCCAGAATTTCCTGTGGATCTAACTCAGAGGAAATGACTTCCATACATTTCCAAATATCACGCATCCTGCAAGGCCTTCTCACCCCCACCTCCTCTCTGTAACAATATATTCTTGTTCAATGCTACCCAATCATGTGTCTTGTGTGTTTTCGGGAGAAATGCCTAAGTTTAACAGAAAACATAGATTCCTCTAAGTTCCTTCTCCAAATATCCTTTTGTTCCACCCTCATGAATCCATGTTGTTTGTGTGCCAAGCTGGTGGCATCTCAGACAATAGCCACCCTGCTTTGTGTGAGTAATGCAATTGATAGCATCCTGTTTCAGAAAAGATGTAGGAGATGTGAGTGGACCAGAGGGTACTAAGGAAGGAAATATTGATTTGTTACTCTGAAAATTCAAAAAGCCAGTGGTCTGAGGAAGCAAGTCCTGTTCAGTATATGGACATCACAATCTTTGGACCCTGTCCCTGGAAGGTTCCTGACCCACCTCCACACTCCCTTTGCCTTTTGGACTCCAGTCCACCCTGACAGTTGTGCTTCAAGCACACTTTCCTGGAACCCCCTAGCTGCCCTGCTTGTGTTGTAGAAGCCATGGCTTCCAGTTACTTTCTTCACTACAATTTATAATTCCATGTGGACCCTTTAGTTCATTTATTTTTCCGGAACCAGACTAAGCTTGGTCAGGAATGAGGCTAAATTACTTTCCTCATTACTGGACTTCAGCTTCTCTGTGTTTAAGATAAAAGACTTGGAAACATGGCCTCAAAGGCCCTTTGAACGTTTAAGATTTAAAGACACACAAGCCCTAATGGTATTTAACTTATTGAGAAGTCTAAAGGTGTGACTGACTCTGGTTGCCATTCCCTTCAGAAGGCAGCCAAGACAATGCTGATGAAAGCACAGGACTAAAGAAGCCCTGTGTGTGTTCAAAGCTGAACAGACTGAGGTCATTGATGCTCCCTCATTCTAGGACATAAGTTTTCATAGAGGTACTCTTCAGGCTTAGAACATCATGGAGACAGAAAGTAGGGACCAAGAGTAGCTTCCCATCCATCCAAAAGGAAGTACTGGCAAAGTCTAGCCTAATCTTTGTCTCTCACATGACTTGTGTGCTGATGAGGACACAAAAATAAATAGTGTCAAATAGGTACTTATTTATGGATGGATGGATGGTTAGATGGATGGATGCATAGATGCATAGATGCATGGATGCATGGATGCATGGATGGACAGAGAGACAGATGCTAAATGGAAGGAAGGGAGAAAGGAAAAAAGGAAGAAAAGGATGAGTAGAGATGGATGCACAGAGATACATATGATGACTGGATGTATGTATGTATGTATGTATGTATGTATGGATGGATGGATGGATGGATAGAATGGCAAACTGACATATAGATATGAATATATAGATGGATGGTTAGGCAAACAGACAGACAGAAGAGGAGATTGATGGGCAGAGACTCAGATTGGTGGATGAACGGATGGATGAATGGATGTATGGCTAGATGGATGGACAAATGAGATGACAATGAAATTGAAATACAGGCAAATAGGTATAGATCAGGACACAGCAATGCTGTGAGTGCTTTTCTCATGTGCCACACAAGCAACCACTGCAATTCCTACCCCTGAGGCAGTAAAAGGGGGAGATGGTCTCTTCCATTCCCAGGAGTACAGAAGCAAATATGGGAAGCTCCCTTGGCCCCAGTTACCCAACTACTGGAACTGGGGGTTGGAGCAGCCTCATCTACTAGGTTATTTTGTGAGAGGACCTGGAGTTTGCTGACTCAGCTTAATCTTCCCTAGCATCTTGATTGGATTTGGAATCACCTAGGAGACACACACCTCTGGGTATGTTTCTGAGGACATTACCATAGTGTGTTACTGAGGGAGGAAGACCCACCTTGAATGATGTTAGCAGCATCTCATGGGCTAGGATTCCATTTTGAATAAAAAGGGAAAAGCAAGAGAGAGAGAGTTTAATACAGAGTTTGATACTGTTTCCTGACTGGGGTGCAATGTGCCCATTTGTTTTATGCCCCTGCCTCTGGGGCTGCCTCTCCCTCTCCTTAGTAGACTCTCCTCAAACTGTATGTCAAATAAACCCTTCCTCCCTTAAGTTGCTTCTTGTTAGGTATTTTGTCATAGCAAAAAGAAAAGTAACTGACATACCAACCAAACCATGAAGTGTGGGGACAAAATAAACAGCCGTAAGCAAACAAGGGGGAAATGCTGGAGAATTAACAGACACTGGACTTACTTCCAGGTGTGAGATGGTCACCAGTCATCAGAATTCCTTTCAACTGGTGCAACATCCCCACAGACAAACATAGATCTGACATAGAAGGCTTCCAGGAAGATAACAGGGCTCTCTGGTGCACGTGGACTTTGAAGAAAAAGGAGGAAGAAGAGGCTAGAGCTGCTACATCTTCAGGAGTAGGCGGGCCCTCAACAGACTAGTAGAGATGGCATGTGGGCTCATGTTGACTTTTCAAACTTACATTACTACAAGGGTCACCATATATTCCAGTTAGGATAAATACCTGTCAATGTTTAGATTCTGAAGGATGTGCAGTTTTATCAGTAGGATCAGAAAAACAGCATATCCTAGATGATGCTGGTCAGCATAGTGTCGGAGAATCTGCTGAAAATGTCTGGGAACATATTATTCAAAGAAAAGTAATTCCCCTTTCTACCTTGATGAGCATGAAAAGTACAAATGTGGAAAGTGGAGAAAGTGATACAAGAACTCCTGGAAGGTCCACACTGCTCATGACCACGCTCAAGACTCTGAGAGTCCCACATTTGCATATCTAATCCCCAGCTGATGAAGTGTTTGGAAAGATTAAGAGGTATGGCCTTTGAGGTTTCAAATGCCCACACCAGGCCCAGTGTCTTTCTCTTTGTCTACCGCCTTTGGATCAAGATGTAAAGCTCTCAGTTACTGCTCTAACACCATGCCTTCCAGAATCCCACCATGATGATCCAGAACTAACCTTCTGACACTGTAAGCAAGCCCCCGGTTATAAGTTTTTTAGAATAAGAGTTGTCTTAGTCATGATATCTCTTCACAGAAACAGGATAGTAACTAAGACACACAGCAAAGATCATAACCTTCATGAGATCATATTTTATTTTCTCCCTCCCATCACATGGCATAGAGTCTTGACTCTAACATTGTGTCTAACAAAAGTGAAAAGAATGAATAAGTGAACAGAGCTAGCACTTAGTTGTTGTTCATTTTAGGATTAACCACTTTGGCTGTGCGTGCATACATGTGTGTCTATGTCTGTGCGTTTGTGTGGGTAATAGCTACAAAGACACTACAGAACTAGAACTGCATGGAATTTCTTATTAAAACCTTAATTTTACTGCCCATAACCCTTCCAGTTGAGTCAGAGAACTTAGATTCAATTCTGCCTCCAGTGAAGTTATTTAAAATTTTTAAAACATTTCTTTAAGTGCTGTTTATATACCTCCGAAGTTTCTGGTGGGGAAAGCAGTCTTTTCTTCCTAAACACCTCTCCACTTTCTCTTTCAGCTGAAGAGAGATGAATCCCTTGAGGAAGACAAAGTAACTGTGAGCGTTCACAGACCCTCCAGAAAGTCAATCACCAAGATGCTATGTAAGCTGCTGTCTTTGTTTCACAATTTGTTCACTTTTGTTTATAAGAGCAGAGGTCTTGTGTTTGGCACTGACGTAATGGTGCTGGCCAAGATGTTCTTCTTGGTTTCCAGAAGCTTCTATGACCTGCCTGTTTTGTTTCATCTTTGGATTTGAGCAATCAAAACCTTGTCCTAGGTTACGGTTGCCGAGAGCCTTCCAAGTGCTGTGAAATAAATCACGTTTGCGCGCTAAACCCGAACACCACTCTCTCTGTAAAAATGGGGCCAGGTGGCTGCTGAACCTGTTTGTATTCCAGCATTCTTCAAACATAGGAAACAGGTCATGGAAAGCTCTGCACTCACAAATTCTCTCACACACACAATGTCTCATAACTCCCTTCTGGGGATTGTAAGCTCCTGGTGGCCATGTGGACTCTGGATTTTTAAATTCCAGATTAAGAACAATGAGGCATGAGTTCTTCTGAGTAAATCATTCTGCCTAGGACATTACATCAGAACATCATCTTGCTAAAAAGACAAAACAGTAAGAATAACCTTTTTATTTGAGATACATATACTTGTAAGAGACAAAATATTTTAAGAAATCCAGGTGCTGACCATCCTCTCCCAAATGGGTGCTCAGAAAGTAACTGGAGCCCTGGGCTGGGAAGGTGGCTCAGCAGTTAAAACACTTGCCATGAAAGCATGAGGACTGGGAGTTGGACGCCAAGAACCCACACAAACACTGGTGGGAAGGGCCACTCTCTTCTTATTCCCATCTTGGAAAGCAGAGACAGGGTCGTCCACAGGGCAAGCTAGCGATGGAGAGAGACTGGCCATATCAGTGAGCTCTGGGCTTGATTGAGAGATCCTGCCTCAGTGAATAAAGTGGGTGAGTAATTGAGGATGATTCCTGACTCGACCTTGGGCCTACACACACAAACTCATACACATTCAAACACACATATACACGCATGCACATATATCTGCATACACATACAACTGGAAAAACAAATCCAAGAAACTCCAGTCCTCCAAGAGAGACACTGATGAGGTATGTGAAATGTCATAAACTTTCCAAGTAACAACCTACATTTGGAAAGCAGCAAAACCCCAGGCTAATTTGCATGTGAAGCAAGGAAGCTAGGCCCTCTGTGAACAAAAACCAGAAGTCGCCGAAGTTGGTCTTTTGACTCTGATAATCATTTTCTTCGAGGTTTTTCAGGGACTTGGCCTTTGTTGTTGGGAAACAGGGAGCCTTTGTTATTTCTCCATTTCTCCCTTTGATCGTGATGTTCTCCGTTTCTCAGTGTTTGCTCCTGTTAGCTAGCAGCATCTCAGTAGCGAGCCTGGGGTGTAGCTCCCTGATAGAGCACTGTCCTGCCTGTACAAGGACCTGGGTTCAATTCCTAGCACATCACACTCCGAAAATTAAATATTTCTGGGCTGGGTTCAAAGCCAGCCTGGGCAGCTTAATGAGACCCTGTCTCAAAATAAAAAGGAAAAGGGGAACTGGGCTGTAGTTCAGTGGAAGAGGGCTTGCCTGAAACATGGGAGGCCTTGAGCTCAATTCCCAGTACTGAATAAAAGAGGAAAAACAATAACAAAATGTTTTGTTATTTGCCTTCATTATTAATAGGAATTATAGCCAGGAGTGGGCAGTTGGAGGACATGTTATTGAGGGAGAAACTCAAAAGAACCTTTTGGATATTATTGGAAGCATGTAGCACAGACAGACAGATTACCTTCAATGTTAACTCTAAAAGGAAACAGAGGTACCGTGTTTCCGTGAAAGGCTGAAATGTGCACATGGGCAAAGCTGCAGAATGAAGATCATGTACCCATCTCTCAGCCTCTGAGGTCATCAGCTCATGGCTGTTCTTTCTTCATCTTCACCCTCACTTCTCTTCCAGCCCACTAGGTCACTCAGATACAAACCTCCGGAAGCCTTTGACAGGGAAAGACTTGACAAGTTATTAAAAGGGAAAATGCTTGTTTATCTTTGTGGAGCTTCCATGTCCAGAGAGGAAACTACTGTCACACCCTGTCCCTACCCTGGGGCTAAAAAATGAGAAATCTGTTCATTTCAGACTCAGGGTGGCCCTTCCTCCCAGAATCAACACTATGTTTGCAGTTGTTCTGTCTTTGTGCCTCTTACCCCGCCCCACCCCCAAGCACACCCCAGCTCATCACAGAATCAAAAGGATCAAAGAAACTCCTAAATATTTCTAGAGTGTTGTGTCAGCAGCTTTGCACTGCTGTGACAAAATGAAGAAGTGAAGGTGGGGAGACAGATGGGTTGGTAAAGTGCTCGCTGAGCAAGCTTGAGAACTTGTGTTTGACCCCCAACATTTGTATAAGAAAAGCTGGGCACAGTGGTGTGTGCTTGTAATCTGAGAGCATCCCAGAGCTGGGCAGGTGGACAAGGGTGGACTTTGTTTTTCTGGCCAGCAGTCTAGCTGAACTTGTGAGTTCAAGGTAAAAGTGAGTGACTGTCTCAAAACAAAATGAGCAGGCCTCCTGAGAAATGATACTTTAAAACTGACCTCTGCCCTACATCCCCCACAACACACACACACACACACATACACACACACTCTCTCTCTCTCTCGACATACAAGACACATATAGTAAATAAAGAAAAGACTTATCTTGGCTGACAGCTTCAGTTTATCTTTGGGCCTACTGTGAGGCAGAATATCACTGTCATGAAAGAGAGAAAGAAACTGAGACAGAGACAGAGAGACAGTCAGCCAGAGTCAGAGAAAGACATAGAGAGAAGGGGCAAGCAGTTCTTTCGACATTAACTGCAAGTGTTAAGCCTCTGTGACAAAGCCCTGTCTAGAAAACTTACATGGGTGATTTGCCATCTGTCTTCAAGATTTCAGTCACTTGGCCCTTCTTCTTTGGGACTGTGATGAGGCACTTAGTGGCAGAGGCTGTGTTCACTTCACAGCCCGTTAAACAGAAAGGAAACAGAGTGGAGAGTCCCCATACTCCTTCCAAGGCCCAGCAAATGCCTGCTTCCTCCATCTAGACCTCATCTCCTCAAGTTTCACCCTCTCTCACCCTCCAATGGCATCACCCACTGGGGACAGTGCCTTAGAGGCATGAGGTTCTGGGTGGGATCCAAACCCTAAGAACCCACTGGTAACCTGCAGATTTAAATATCACAACTTCCTAAAACAACCTTTTACTGATCTAGTCAGTCTGTGAGTCTCAAAACACCTGCTGAGTACACGCTTTCTTTTCTACAATCAAGTGGTTTGGGAATGTTGAAATATGTTCAGTTCTATTTTAAATGTTCTAAGAAGACACATGAGAACTCTTGAAGAGATGTCTCAGCAGTCAAGAGCCCTTGATACTCTTTTGCAGAGGACCCAAGTTCAGTTCCCAGCACCTACGCTGGGCAGCTCACAACCTCCTGTGAGGCCCTCCTCTGGCACTACATGTGTGTGGTGTACAGAAAGATAAGGAGGCACAAACATGTATACATAAATAAATAATTACTTTTTAAGGAAGACAGAGAGAGAGAAATCCCAGGACCAGTGAGTTGGCTCAGAGGGCAAAGGCAATTGCTGCCAAACCTGACCTGAGTTTGATTTCCAGAGCTCAGTATAAGGGAATGACTGATTTCGCTGAACTCTTTCATATGTTGTGGTGTGTGTGCATGTGGGGTAATCACACACATATATAAGTAGCAGTAACAGGACTTAGTAGGGTCTGACCAAAGAAGACATGAAGTTGGAGGACATGGAAGGAGCTGAAGTGGAAAAATAAATGATAAAAATGATTATATTTGATTGCATGCATTTATGAAAACTTCAAAAACAAAGAAATTCTTAAGTAAAAAAAAATAGAATATAAATTCTGAAAGAACTTAAAGCAGTGAATCCTAAATCTACACAATTAATTCCTATGTTTGAATATTCTTTGTCTCTGGGATCACACTTGCCTATAGCGATCATCAATTAACAAAGATTAACAGGGAAAACGTGATAACAGAAGAGAAAGGCTAGGAGCAAGTATCATGTTCTTTCCTGGCCTACTATATCATTCCCTCTCCCACTTCCTTTTCCAGTTGTCTTGGTCCTTGTGTTTGCTATCTGCTGGACCCCCTTCCACGTGGACCGCCTCTTCTTCAGCTTTGTGGAGGAGTGGACTGAGTCCCTGGCTGCTGTGTTCAACCTCATCCATGTGGTGTCAGGTAAAGGCTTGGTGGGTTCAGTGGTGCAGCTCTAAAGCAGCTTTTCCTTCACTCCATCTTGAGGCCTCCCTCTACAAGCAGCTCGTGGGGACCTGGCCCTTTATTATGGAAACAGTGAGTGCTGACTGTATTAAGAAATTAAAAATGTTTACAGGTCACTTTATGGAAAACCCCAATGCTACACGTGTTAATTACCACAGGAGAATGGTCAGGGATCAACACACACAAGAAATGGTTTCCCCAAAGGCACAAAGCTGTAAAAACAGTGAAAATGGGATTCAAGTCTAAGCCATTGGATTTCAAGTTCAAGATTGTTTCCACCAAAATAGAGAACCTACTCGTGTTAAGTTCTTCCTACCAGCCTCTGTTGTCAACTAGTTTATTCTGTGGCCTCTGGATTATCAGGGACATAACCAGAGAGTAAAGGTAGGATACATATATGCCTTAGGAGCATCAGAGCTCAGAGCAGAAGGAAGGAGGGAGTGGGGAACAGGAGAGAAAGATTGGGCTGCATCCATTTCTGCCTCTGAACATTTGCACTCAAATACACATTCTCTCTCTTCACCAACTGTCTCTTACCCGTGTCAAGGTCTAGCTGGTGCTGGCAGTCACTGCCACTGAGTCCCTCATGACTGCAGTGGTCTCTGTTATAACAGAATAACTGCTGCCGTCTGGCAGTTGGTAGCACACATGATCCTGGTAGATGTCATTGTGTATCCCAGTTACTAGCTTAGCCAAGGATCCTGCGTCTGCTGTATTCTTTCAGTTGGAGAACAAATTGGAGCACTTGGAGAACAAAAGTCTAAATACCTTATCTTTGAATGTGCTTTGAAGTTTCCAGAATGTCCTAATAAGCATTTGATCAGTGTCTGAAAAAACAGACATGTCTTCTCATCCCAGAGAGGACAGTGACCAAAGACCCAAAAAAGATATTCCATCCAAGTGTAGTTTGTTAAACCCCAGCGATGAGTCACTGGGGTTGCTAATGAGAGCGTGAGATGGGCAGCTATATTACTGAAAGAAAAAAAAAATCTCTCAGCAGTGGTTAACTGTCTATAAATCTTCAGGAAGTGACCCAGCCTCAGGAGCCTCTCCCCAAACCACTGTTAACTGTCTTGAAATCTTTGAGGAAAAGCAGGCAAGCCCTTCCCTTGTAATACAAAGTTAATGGGAACAGCCTTGCGTAATCTCCAAGACATAATCTCAGCTGACAGTTCTAGAGGGCTATGACCATGACTGAGTCATGCTTGGAAGAGGAGGATGCTTCACAACACTCAGCTTCAGCCAGAATATCCAAACCCCCCGTTTTCCCCGTTTGCCAGTATTTATCTAAGGGTGCAGAACAGAAGAGGGGCAGGATCCTAACCTCCCTTAAGCCTCATTGGTGTCTTAGAGAAACAAAACAGGAGATGATAATAAGAGTGAGTGTGCAGGTGCTGGAGAGATGGCTCTGTGGTGAAGAGCACACACAGGCACATTTAAATAATTAAAAAATAAATCTCTAAGAAAAGAGTATAACACAGAGAGAAAAGGCAATATACAAGCTGCCTGGTGGACAAAATCAATGGTAAAATATACTTACTCAGTGGAAGAGCTATTGTGGGAAGCAGGAGCAGGTAGGAAAGGGACATGGCAGCGTGGGTGGGAGTGTCTCTCTCTGCAGAAGGTTTTCAGCAAAATAAGGAATCTCAGCAGGGACAGTGTTGATTGACTTACCAATCCTCACCACTGCTGCTCCAGATTATAGCCTTAGCTAACGATCCAGTGAAGACACAAACCTCTCTTCTCTGATCCTTGAGCATCTCTCATCAGCACCATTACCCAGCACCGTGGAAAACCCGTGACGCTTTCATCGATCTCTCTGTGCTTGATTCCTGAGTGCACAGGTGGATCTGCTCATAGCATTTCATATTCTCAGTGAGTGCCCTGTACACCCCTCCCCTTCCAGGAGAGGCACTCACAGGCTTCCTGGGCCTTTGCTAAATATTTACAAGCTGTCCTACCATGCTGCCATGTCTTCTTTTGATTCCCTCATTTGCAGGTGTCTTCTTCTATCTGAGCTCAGCTGTCAACCCCATCATCTATAACCTCCTGTCCCGACGCTTCCGGGAGGCCTTTCGGAATGTTGTCTCTCCTTCCTGCAAATGGTGCCATTCCCAGGGTTGCCCACAGGGCCCTCCTACCCAGAAGATTATCTTCTTGACAGAATGCCACCTTGTGGAGCTGACAGAGGATGCCGGCCCCCAGTTCCCTTGCCAGTCATCCATCTGCAACACCCACCTCATGGCCCCCTATGCCACAGAGGAACCATGAAAGAAGTGGTCAGAAGGCCACTTCAGAAGGCCTGGATTCTGTGACTGACATCCCTCTAAGCCCCTAGCACTGCAAGGAGGATCACCCTGTCACCTCTCCTTGTGTGCTATTAGGGAGATAACAAGGCTCATACTCATTACTTTTTTTTTTTTTTTTACCATTTATTACAATTTATTCACTTTGTATCCCCGCTGTGGCCCCCTCCCTCATCTCTTCCCAATCCTACCCTTCCTCCCTCCTCTCCCCCTATGCCCACCCCAGTCCACTGATAGGAGCGGTTCTCTTCCCCTTCTATTTGACCCTGCCCTATCAGGTCTCATCAGGACGGGTTACATTGTCTTCAGGGGGAGATAAAAAGACCTGGAGGCGATAGGAGTTCCAAAAGGAGACCAACTAAGCCAAAATAACTGAGCCCTGGGAGCCCTGCAGAGACTGATACCTCAACCAAGGACCATGCATGGAGAGGACCTAAAACCTCGGCTCAGATGTAGTCCATAGATTCAGTATCCAAGTGGGGCCCCTAGTAAGGGGAACAGGGGCTTTCTCTGGCATGAATTCAGTGACAGGCTCTCTGATCACCTCCCCCTGGGGGGCGGGGGGCGTGCAGCCTTGCCAGGCCACAGAGGAAGACAATGTAACTCGTTGCTTTTTTTAATGTAAAAACTCAGACTTGGTTCTGGGTCACACTCCGTCTTCCTGTACTGTGAGTTTTCATAACTGTGATTGCAATGTGCCATGTGAGTCTCACTCAAAGACGCTCTCACGATGGGTGAGTTTAGCCAACTAAAGGCGTTATGGAGTAGCTAAGAGCCACAGCATGGTTATCCCAACCTCCAAACGCAGGAAGCATGAGATGCTACTGAATGTTGTGTGAGCAGCTAGCTCCGAAATGCTCTGGAAAGCTTAGCCCTCCAATAGGTAGGACTTTTGCTTGTTGTCGAATGAGCGATGGCTTGAAATCAGACATGGTAGAAGTATTTATGCTACAGAAATTAACAAGCTCTCTAAACCAGGGCTAAATAATTTTTATCCCCTAGAGAGCTAGCCCATGAGCAGGTTGAGAGCTATTAATAAGCTGGCACTGTGCCAGCCACCTTGCTGCCATGCGTGTGACTTGTTTTTAGAACAAATGCTGGTAATGCTATAATTATGGACTACGTAGAGTCGTGGTTAACTCTGAAAAAAAAATGCTATGGACTAGATTTTTGGTGGTTTTTTTTTTTTTTCCTAGACAAAAATAGTTGAAAAACTGCTAATTAAGCAAATGGAAGAAGCATCAGCATTTTACGATTAACCTGGAGTAGAAGGATTATTTTTGGATGCCATCCATTCATATTAGTGCAGAAGACAACAGTAGACCCAGTGTTTTCTTCCCTCCCATGCTTGTATTTCCAGAGCCCATAGGATGTGCTGTCAAAACAGGCAAATTTTCCATATTCGCCTCTACTTGACTGCAGGCTTACTTTCTTCTTAACGTGTAGAAACACGCTGTAGGACTGGAGGGATGGCTTCCTGGATAAAGGTACTCACCACCAAGCTCAAGGACTTAAGTTCAAAACCTGATGGAAGCACAGAGAACTTCCTCAAGTTGACCTCCGACCTCCACACGTGCACCGCGGCATATGCCACACGCACTCCCCTCTCCTCTCCTACACACACCACACTACATAAGTTCATATGAAACTAACTAAAGAAAAGTATTGTGAAGCCACAGCACAGAAGCTAACAACTATACATTCTTCTACAAGCCTACCAGATCAAAATCCCAGACAAAGCAGCCTTCCAGCTTCCTTCTTTCCTTTCCCATCCCCAGAAGATGACTGAATGCTCCATGGGCTCTACTCCTGATGCCCCAACTGTACCACACTATAGAAGCATTTTCAAGGCAGTGCCAATGTTTGAAAGCTTCAACAAATCTATGTATGGAAGAGATATTGAAGAATGTACCTAAACTAAATACCCAGATTATATTGCTAGTGAAATACATTCACCGTACACAACTGACTGTTAACTTAGAGAGTTACAATAGTGGACAAGCCTGCCAAGGAAAGGTGATGCCAAGGACCATGGGACAAAAAGAAGCAAAATTGGAGTGACGGCTTAGTGGGCAGAGACACTGGTACGTAAGCCCGCTGATCTGAGTTTCATGGCTGAGGAAGAGACCAAGCCCCTGGAGCTGTCCTCTGACCTCCACATACTCACCGTGGCTTGTATAGCATCAATCCCTCACACATAACAATAAAATTATTTTTCAAAGAAAAGCAGTTTACCCTTTCAAACACATTCAATGTCTGTATTCTCTGAAACCCCGTGGAGGCATAGATAAGAATGTAAGTAAATAGCTATTTTGAAGATAGATCTTAAATGGTTTGATAGAACATACTTATTTGGATTTTTTTTTCCAGCAGAAAGACTACCTTTTATCAGTGCTTTCTGTTTTGTTCTATAAGCGCTGAAATCTTCAGATCCCGCCTTTGACCACCAATTCTTCAATAGTAAACTGGAATAAATGTTATCCTGTGCACACTCACTGATTCTCCCATCTTACTAAGAGATAAAGCATTACTGTTTCCCCATCACCTTTTCAGCTGACAACAAAGAGTATAGCCTTGTTTGCACCTGGGGAAATTATACAAGCAATCTCAAAGCCTCTGATGCTACAACAGTCCTCACATCTCACTCAGAAATCTGCAGGGCACTGGGGACATTCCCAGTCTGGGTACTCTGGGGTCTGAGGCTTCCCCTCAAAGCTTGCCACCCACAGCAACCTCTGTCTTATACTCCTGTTAAGGGATGGTGAGAGCAAGCCTGGCAGTCGGTAAACTGACTCCCCAGGTGTCCAGATTCCAGAAGGGTGGATGCCATTCCTCCCCCAAAGAAGCCTATAGATGCTGGGAGTTGCCAGAACACTGGACATCGCTGAAGAGGGTGGTCAGGAAAGAACACCCCCGTGCTCTGTACCCCAACTAGAAGAGCTGCTTCTCTGCTCTTTCCCCAGGACCCTTTCATGTTCCCACCTCCTTCTCACTCTCCCACTTCCTCCTCACTCCTCCACCTCCTTCTCACTTCCCTCCTACCTCTCCCTCCTCCTCCTGTATTCTCAGAGTCACAGATTCCTTCGTGGGGATTTACTCCCTTCATTTTCCAGATGCTCAGGGACCAGGAACTAAAGATCTGGTTCCATACATTTCTTGCGAAGCCTTCCTCCTTCCTCTGAAACCTATATGAAGAGACCACCACTCTCCTCAGCCTCCCCACCTGTCCATGGTGTTAACTACTCTTCTAATAAGCCTCTTACCCAAAAGGATAACCACCCCCCCTTCAGTCTCAAACCTGAAACCTTCTGGAACCACACTGTCAGGAGATGGAGAAGCCACCTAGGGAACACACTTCTCTTGGTAAGCAAGTCATGAGGAGCATGGAACTCTCTACTTTCCAGGAAGCTGTGGCTCCACTGAGGTTGCCACATTTGCCACTACCCTGTGAAGGAATTTGAGAAACACTAGCTTTCCCCCAACTCTCAGAGTGCTGCTTGGTTCTCTCAGGAGCCAGAATTTTGGGCAACAACCTAACAGCCTTGAGACCAGGAGGTATATCTTGTAGAATATACAAACAGAACACCAGCTTCCAGCCAGCCAATGGGTTAACAATGCTATTAAAGACATCACAATGTTCTCTGCTTTGCTTTAGCCACTGACTTCACATCATCACCTATATATTAGGAAATTGCCTTGATTTAAGACCTCCCTTGTTCTGTTACTATAAAAACATCATCAACCTGTCACCGTGTTTGAACACGGAAATTGGGGTTACCTGAATCTGTGTTTCTAGGCCATAGTCACTACTCCTATTTGACCCTAGAATAAACTTGTGTTCCCTTTTGGGTGGCAATTGTGTTTTCTGCATTGACAACCAGAAAAATGAGATATCTGAGCCCCAGGGCTTGCTTCTGCTGTGTCAGGGCAGGAAGTACAGAGCTACCCAACCTCTGAGCTCTGAGTCTGTGTCCTGGGCCACCATGGTCACTTACATTTGGCTCCAGAGTAAACTGCCTCTTCTTCCCTATGAGTTGAGAGCTGTGATTTTGCGCTGACACCCATATGCCAGTTAAAGAAACAAGCAATACTGAAGACCAAAGAAACAGTATGGCCATATGAAGGCATGGAATAAAGCAGTCCACAGGCCCCCAACTCCATCTTTGGGGATATTATGCTGGCAGGAGGTTTAGGTATAAATAAAGGACATGACATATACATACTCAGCCATCCTGTCACAGTGTGGGGTCAGTCCAGCCTCATCTGAGCTCCAGTTTCTCCTGTAAGGTGGTCTGAAAGAACTTGTCAGAACTGTGTGAAATGTTTTCCTAGGAGAAGAGCTCCCCCTCTGCCTGTACCGGACTTCAGCATCTTCCTTCTCACAGTGTGAGATTTGTGGGGAAATTCCAATTTCTTGAGGTCTATCATTTCAATAGTCTGCTAGCCCAAAGGGAGAATTGGGGTATCTCTTTGAATCACTTCACCCCTGCCAGGATGGTTAGCTGGGAATGGTATTTAGAAACACTGTAATAAGCATCTATAGAAAAACCAAAAAACTAAATATAAAAATAATTAGATAGATGGATAGACAGACAGGCATGCAGATAGATAGATAGATAGATAGATAGATAGATAGATAGATAGATAGATAGATAGATAGATAGATAGATAGATAACATAAATAAGAATTTATTATTCAGGAAAATAGGTTTTCATGGCATTTAACTGTGTTTCTGGTTTTTAGGAAACATTCTGGTTGTATAGCAGCTTCCTCTGAAAGGAAACTCCCTCCGGGACTGAGTCCAGAGGCTCATGAGACTTAGGAATTAAACAGACTTCAACATGTCTCAAAAGCTGAGACTCACAGGTTGTAAGAGGCCCCATTGTAGACACAGGAAACCGCAACAGGAGGGAGGCTTTGACCGGCATAAATCGTACAATAGAGGAAAGGTTCCCAGGCCTGCC